GACCGAGAGCGGGCCGGGAACCGGCGGAGGCGGAGCGTGGACAGGCCCAACGCAGGTAGGGCTAGGTGTGGGCCCGGGTCTGCTACCGACGCCTACTGCCCAAAAGATTGCGGCCCGGAAAGGGAAGGCCAAGATGCCTGGTTATTACATAGACGGGCCTCCCATGAACAGTGGGCCGGAGCTGATGGGCCAATACACGAAGATCCATAACGGGCTGGGGTGGTTGGATCTGGAGGATGGGCCCGAGTGTGACGAACTTAGCCTGATAGACCGACAGGCCAAATGGGCTGAACCAGAGGTGGACCAGAGGGGGCCGGGTGGGCCGAGGAGGATCGCAGAACCGGTTGGGCGGCCAGGGGCGGCCCTCATGGGGCGGACCGAAGGGGGCCGGACCGAGGTTGACCGAACCGAGGTGAGTCAAACCGGGCCGGGTCGGACCGGGATGGGTCGACCGGAGGTAGGTTGAACCAGGCATCGCCCGAGTCCGACTGCTCAGCAGTACAGGAGGGTGGACAGCCGGGAACCAGCCAGTTGGGAGGTTCCGTACGGGGCGCCTCACGCGCCAGGAGGATACCCGAACCTGCAGGGCAGCTATCCGGGTGACTATGGCCATGAGAATCCGAACCGGATGCCGGGCTCTTCTTTTGGGCAGCCTTGGAGGACTCCAGGAAATGACAGGAATGGGTCCCACTACATGAATTATGAGGGAATGGATGGAGTAGTTTTTCGAGCTAAGCCTCCGACCATTGAGTTCCCCAAATTCAATGGGCAAGAGGATGCAGGTCTTTTGGTTGTATGCACTGGAGAGGTTGTTTAGAAACCATCCGATTTCGGAGGAGAGGAAGGCCTATCTGGCGTCGTTTTATCTGGAGGGAGATGCGCTCCAGTGGTGGGAGTGAATGGAACGGTCCTACGCCGCCGCAGCTACCTTGATCACTTGGCCTATGTTTCAGGAAGAGCTCCGTTATCATTTTGGAAAGTCAGATGGGTGGGCTCCCGAGCAGTTGGCAAAACCCTTTAGGTATGGCCCGCAGCCCCATCCTGAAGCAGACCGCACTACAACAAATTCGGCCTATTAGGACAATAATTTTATTTTATCATTTTTTTATTGTCACAATAAGTATGGTGATATGAAAAAATATTATATGTCCTATTTGGTATGCCTAATGTGACAAAAATATTGTCGTTAGAATAAGTCATCATTTTCAGTGAGTAATGTGACAAATATTTCGTGTCACAATAACACTTGTCACAATAGGCATCTCATACCGGGATGTAAGAGACATAAAAGTGACAAATTTATATAGTCAAAGTAGCTTTTTCATATTATGGCTTACTGGATTGTTCAAATGACAAAGTATTTTGTCACAATAGATAGCAATAATCCAACGACGAGCTGACAAAAATGCATGTTCGTCATAATATAGTGGTTTTGACTTTGACAAAACGCATGTTTGTCATAATAGAGTGGTTTTGTTTTTGACAAAAGGTATTTACGTCAGATTTGTTTATGTTCAGCATAAAAAAAAGCAAAAATAATTCACCACAAAAAACTCAAATTTCAGTCCGGCCCAATTTTTAACTGTCCACTTTTCAATCCCTCCCAATTTTTAGACCCCAAATTTCAGCCCCAAAACTTGAAATTCCCTCTCCCCATCCAAAATTTCATTTACCTTAGGAGCCCACTCATTTTCCTCCTCTTCTCTTCTTTTTATTTTGGGAAGGAGACGACCTGTGGCCTTCAAGCTTCTTTCTTCAGTCCCCCAGTCAGAGATGAGGGGAGAAGAAAATATCTTCACTTCTACTGCTCAACCTCCTCATTAGGTGCGAGCTTCTCCGAATATGCGATCGAGCACCGGACATCGCTTTCCATTTTTGAGTTGGCGTTTCACCCTCCACCACCGATCTTCTCCTCCTTTCCAGCCTGTTTGGATACAATTCCGGAAGAAATGGAAATGGAAATGGAATTCAATTTTTTATTTTTATAGAATTCCATTTCCAATTCTAGTGTTTGGTATAATTCCTACAACTATGGAAATGAATTGCACTTTTAACCATAATGAATAATGTACTATGTTTGTTTTATTTTGGGAAATGAAATATGAATGAGAGAGAAAGAGAGTAAAATGATAGTGGGTCAACAAAATAATAAAAAGTATTGATGGGTCCCACTAATTCCATCTTCATTCTCTCAATTCCTATCACTTTTGATAGGAATTGTAATTCCTATATTTTAGACCTATTGGAATTCAATTCTCAACCTTTTTATTATTCCAAACATAATATATGGAAATGGAATTCCAATTCCTTACTTTTTTGTCAATCCAAACAGGCTCGTCCGATTGTTTTTTGTCTCCTCTAATTTTCTCAAGCTGCCGGGGTTCGTTCTATTTTCTTGGGGGTCGAAGGCGAAAGCAGAAGGAGAGGAAGCAACTGATGGGTATCAGGATACCCTTGACTACAAGCATCTCCTAAGTCGACTCTCCCCCTCCTCTTCCTCGAGCGGTAAGCTTGGCTTTCTGCCCCAATTTTAATTTCGGCCTCCCTGATGTTAGGGTCCTCAATATGTCTGCTCCTTTGGTTTTCCTCTTCTTGCCATTAAAATTAACTTGACATATAACGGGTTAATATATAGTTGACATATACACTAACGGGTTAATATAAAATTGTCCTGCTCACTTTGAGGAATGTGTGTAATTCTGTTTTCCCCCTTCTTCTCCCTTGTTCCATGTGCTTGCACTTGTAGGTTGTCCTAATAGTAGGAATGCTTGTCGATGGACATTGGAGAGAAGTATTTAACAGAGTAAATAATGCTAAGCTAAAATTGCATTTGTAAGTGGAACTTGGACTCATATTGTTATATGGTTAATTTTGCTTCTATCTACTTGTATTTTCTCTTTGAATTTTGAAAGGGTTGGTTAGAATAATCCTTATTCATTTGTTTCAATAATCTAGAATCGGTGTCTAATATTGCTCCTCCTAATATAACTTGACAGGAGACCCTGCTATTCTCTAGGCTCTATATTGCTCTACTCTTGGTAAAGGTAAGTATTAACACATGGAGAGTTTGACCAAACTAAATGAAATGATTTGCCATACTTATGGTCAAGAGATTGAACTATGTAAAGTTTTTTCAACTTTAACTATCTTTTTCTAGTGCCTTGTAGTCTCAGGTAGGCCGCCCACAAGGTGTAAGTCAGACGTCCTTCCTCTTCGACGAAGAAGAGCTCGCCATCCCAAACGACCCCTGCAAGCCTGTCGCCCGATTCAAGATTGTCACATATCGAGTTGGGGAAGACAGAGTAGGATATCGAGTGTTGGGTTGGGTTGAATTTTCAGGGTTTTAAAGGGTTACAGTTCTGGTTTTTGGGGGGTTACAATTGCTAGGGTTATGGTTTTTGTTTTTTGGATTTCAAAGGTCAGATAGGAGGTAAAGATTGGATGTAGAGAATGTTGTGTTCTAGATTTCTGTGTTTTCTGGTTCGACATTTTTTGTGGAAGAAGAGATTGGAGGTAGATTCTGGTCTAGACTTAAAATGGCAGCCTTAATCCTTCTTCCAATCCTTCCCTTTCAGTTATGACAAAATAATGTTATCACAATAAACACTTGTGACAAAATGTAGTCGTCACAATATACAGTTATGAAAAAATATAATAGTGTGATATGACAAACAATTCTCCTAAAATCACGAGATTATGACAATCTTAATGAAAAAAATATGTCGTCATAACATCTCTGTTTATCACAATAAACTACCCAGACCTCAGCTATACTGAAAGCAAATGTGACAACCTTGTTTTAAATTTTTGTCACATTTAACCTATCCTGACAGCGATAAAATGACAAGCCTTTGTGACAACAAATGTTGTCATATTATACTTAATATGCCAAAATGGGTATCTATTATGACAAATTTGTCTCGTCATAATAGGCCGAATTTGTTGTAGTGCCGGCACGGTGGCTGAATACCGTGCAGAGTTCTTCAAGTTGGGGAACTAGTGTAAAGGAGTCTCAGAGGACACCTTGGTGGGGTTGTGCATGGCAGGTCTTAAGCCCGAGATACCGGCGGCAGTCCGGGTGTTCGAGCCTGATTCCCTGAAGGCGGCTTTCCGTCTTGCTGGTCATAAGGAGGAAGAGCTCGCTAGTTGGAGGAGCGTCATTGGCCGTTTCCCGAAGTCAAGTGGAGGGGGAGGAAGGAAGCAGCGGGAGTAGTGGAGGCGCGGGAGGGGCGCCAGGGGTAGGCTCGACCGGGGCTAACAGTGGCAGTGGAGGCCCCACACCGGTGGCCAGGATGGGGCCGCGGGCCATACCTAAAGGGTTCGTGCGACTGTCACTAGCTGAGATTGAGCAGAAGAGGCGGGAAGGCAAGTGCTTCAAGTGTGATGGCCGCTTCACCATTGGGCATCAGTGCTCCAAGGAAGATTTGATGATGCTAGTAGGACGATGGGAGGATGAAGCAGAAGACTATGCTGAGGATGCCGGAAATGATGAAGAGGAGACCCAGTGAGCTAGAGGAACAACCTTGGGGACAAGGTTGTTTTTCGAAGGAAGCGGGGATGATAGAAACTTATATTTTAGTACTTGATTATTTGTCGGTTTATTATTATTCGGATTATGAGGACTATTCGGGAATAATTGATGGATTGGGTAGTAGTAGGAGATTAGCCTTTTCTATATAAACTATTGTAAGTTAGAATTAGGGTTAAGAAAGAAGTAATCAAAAAGCCTAAAGTTCCTAATTCCTCTCTCTCCCTGCTTCCCTCTGCCGACCCCTTCCTCTCCTTTCCAAGGCTGCCGAGCAGCCAATCTTTCCCCAACTTCTTTCCCCTCTCTTCCACTGCAGCGACAACAGCTTCTCTTTCCCCCTCCCCCCCCCTTCAATTCCAATTCCCCTGTTCTCACCCCATTTTCCCAAATCAACCCTAATCACCACCTTGGTGATTCAATTCCTCTCACCAAATCCCTAAATCCGATAGAACCTAATCCTAGGGTTCTATCACAGTCCAATAGTTGAGATTTGCTGCAGTTCCGCTGTGACGCCTAAACATAAGATTATGAGCAACAAGTAGATGACCGACTCAAATAGAAAATTACTTCAACCACTATCTGGGGAATATGATACAGACATGTTGACCTAAACAAAAACTCTATTAATCTTATGTATATGTTACATTTTTTTTACCACGAGACGTAAAGAAGAACAAGATAAGTAGAAAATACCATCAATAATGTCTAGCGACAAAAGAAACCACACTAACCCAAATTCAAGTATATAAGAAAAGCCCAGCACCAAGCAGAGAAACCAAACCAAACCAGTTCTCTGTTTCACTAAATACCCTTCCTCAACCCTACTTGATGTACTGAGACATCCACCTGAAGCCTTCTCCATAACCCATTTTCCGAACGATGCTGCACATGAACACCTCGAGCGGCCGAACATTGGTGTCAGCCAAGTTAACTCTCCCCTTCCCTGTCGTGAAGTTGGTGAGGCCCATGTGGTAGCGAAGCTCGTCTTCGGAGGCAGCGTATGGTAGGTCGATCTTGTTCCCGAGTATCAGGAATGGGACGGTGGCCAGTGACTCGTCTGAGAGGAGTGCATCAAGTTCCTTTTTGGACTCGGCAAATCTTTCCTTGTCGAATGCGTCTACCAAGTACACCACTGCATCCACCTTCACACACGGGGAGAATTGAGATTATAATGATGCTGTACAAACATATATGATCGGAGTTGTAATGCTAGAGACTCTGTGAATATTATCCATATCCATCTTGATACTTAAACAACACAAGAAAGAGAGACTCATTACTTTATTTAAGCATCAACATGCAAAAAGCTGTTGGAAACCAGTGAATTCCTGCTTCTGATTGAGCAGATGCCGTACAGATATGCAGTTAGAAAGATCAAAGCCTTCTACAACTACAAGTAATACAGAGAAGTTAGGAGCCTAATTCTAGTTTACTCATCAGGCGCCACTCCAAGTACCAGATGATCAAAGTGCCAAATCCTTGTTATTTGTTAGGTACCTCATCTGAAGAAATTAGGCGCCTCCTCTTGTTTACTTACCTCTCAAGTATCAGATAATCAATATTGCAAAACGCCTAACCCTTGTTACTTGTTAGGCTCCTCATTCGAAGAAATTAGGCGCCTAATCCTTTGCTGCTACCGCTCAGTTCAGTATCAGATGATCAAAACGCTAAACCATTGTAGGAAGGATTTCAAACAAGCACAAGCATTTTAAGTACAACCACCATTGTAGGGATACATGCAACAAGCAGAAGCAATCAAATACAGCAAACAACAATTACACTAGTCCTATGAACTGGTAGGTTTATAATCCAAGAGCTCATTATTCATTCTTTTTCATTGAGCTAAATTGGAGAAAGGGGTTAAACCTGAGTATAATAATCTTTCCACACTCGGCGAGCAATCTGATGACCACCCAAATCGAAAGCTTTGAACTTGATTTTCCCAATGCTTAGCTCTTCAGAAGTTGGGTACTGGGTCGGCTGGTGCTGAACTAGCCTCTGCCCAAAATTCACCAAAACACGATCAATATAAACCCCATCAAAGCTTTTGACTGTAAAAAATCCACATTCGGCTATAATTTATGAAAACCCAATTTGATCATATTCGTCGAAATTGATCCCCCTTTTTCGTTCAATTGAATTTTCTCGGCGGCCGAACAGGAACAATTCCGAAGCCCTGTAATAAACCAGAATACCTCATCTTTCAACATGTGAAGCAGGGTTGTCTTCCCGGCATTATCGAGACCCAGGAACAAGATCTTCGCTTCCTTCTGCCACAGACCAAGGGAAGCCAGAACTCCGTAGAACCAATCGATCAGAAACATGGCACGGTCTCTGAATTCAAAGCCAGCTGGCGAAGGGAAAAAGTCCAGAACTTTCTTCAACAGAACTGAAAGGAAAGAAAACCACAGAGAGAGAGAGAGTGAGAGAGAGTGGGGGAGGGGAAATGGAAGGAATCGAGCGTGTGAGATTATGAATAGGGCCTTAGGTGTGAGATTATGAATAGGTTGAAGCCTGAAGGGGAAAAAGACAGATAGAAACAGTTCCCACTAGAAGAAGGATATTATTATTATATTAATTGTTAGCGTACTCTGGGTCGGGTTTCGGGCCTCATAGTGGCCGACGGTGGAGCGAGAATGAGATGCTGAGTTTCGGTTTCGGCGTCATCGGGTGAATTCTAACCGTTGATCTTAAACTCGACGGCTGAGATTTGAGATGACGTGACGGTGATTTTGGGCTGGGCTTTGTCCAGGTGGCAGAAGCTTTGCTCTGAATGTTGTGGGCTCTTATGATATTTTGGGCCTGAGTATGGTAACGGGAACAATGGGCTTTCAGACAATGGCCTAAATCAACAAACCCAATTGATTTAAGCAAATAATGACAACCCTCCAAAAATCGCAAGAGTACACATGATCTGCCAAGAAAAATTAGGAAATTTAAATACTTTATTCAGATCATAATAACCTTGCCATTCGAAATTAACACCAAAACCAACAAATAACTAACCAACCAAACACAAAACAGATTCGAAAAGTAAAATACTTTTATTTATTATTTTTATGTAACCATAACATGATAAATCCTTGCTCCAGCTTCCAGAACCATCGCCGTGACGTCAACCACCGATGCAACGAGAGTAGTACACAGGAGCCGGGTGCGCAACTTTCTCTTCTTGCTTGATGCGGCTCACCGCAGCAGCAGCAGGTTTGAGGGTCGCCGGCGGCGCAGCCTCTTGCTTGATAGTAACGCCTTGTTCCTGCTTCACCGCTACAGTTTCCACCACCCTGGGAGCAGCAACAGGGGCAAAGAAACCAGAACTCCTCTGCATCTTTGCTCTCAAGTAGTCTTGATTAGCAACCAAGTTGTTATTATAGACGTGCTTGATTCTGTTCTCTCACTTTTTCTTTTGCCGATTAGCTGGGTTTGTGCTTGGATTGAAGAATAGAGCAGATGGATGGAGTATTTATTTATACATATATAGAGAAGGGAATGAAAGGGTTGTTGATGGATCAATGTTCATGCATGCACAGCTATATAACTTAATATGAACGGGGAAGCCAAGGAGTTCTTTTTGGTTCGTTGCACCATTTCTCAGCCATCATATACGCGCTTTTTATGAATGAATTAAGATGCCCAATCAATGGATATATTTGGATTCCAGATATTCGATTGATGCAACCATTTCCCAAGGAGAATTCGGTGCCTGCAGGAAGCTATCAGCTTAATATTCCAGAGGAAAACTGAGGTTCGGTATGAGATGGACTGAAGAGTGTGGCTTGCGAAGGGTTGGTTTGTACGGGTAAAATCAAGCCGAACCAACTACACTTTCAGTTTGGACTCGATCATCTGTTTGGAGCCTTTTCGAGTGTTGTTTTTACTCGGGTTGGGTTCAGTTTGACTGAACTAATAATCGAGTGCCCATACCTAACTTAAAAGACTCTTTCATTATGTTTTTTCCCCCTACTTTTGTTATACGTTTCCATGCTTTTGATCCATGGAAACTCAAATTTCATGGTCATGGCTGTTAAGGAAGACCGGGTCTAATGTCAATTCCTCCATTATCTCCACTTAACAACCTTCTGTTATTCTGTTTCTAATATTGCTCCCACTACTAGCACTACTGATCTTGTAACTATACTGTATAAATTGGCCATTGATTCATCAATGAAAACACACATAAATTCCCAGCTCGTACATGGTATCAGAGCCGAACAGCCTCACGGCAAATTGAGTCTTCTTTTTCCCCCCCACCCCCTTTCCTCCCTGATTCTTCTTTACTTCTCCCTCATCATGTCGACTTCCTCCTCCTCCTCTTCTGATGCCACAGGCCCTATTCCCGCCGCCACAACTCCCCTCTCCCCCTTCAATCCTCCCTCAGCCCCTCACATCGCCACCAAACTCACATCTACGAACTATCTCCTATGGCAGATGCAACTTCTTTCCCTTCTTACAAGCTTTGATCTTTCAAAGTTTGTTGAAGGAAGCTTCCCCGCACCGCCTCGTACTCTCGCTGGCGGCCAATCGAACCCTGACTACATTGCTTGGCGCCGTCTTGATCAACTAGTCTTTTCTTGGATCGCCGGCTCTCTCTCCGACTCTGTCCTCTCTCGACTGGTCGGCTGTTCCACGGCGCTTGAAGCCTGGACGCGTCTCGCCTCCACTTACGGCTCCAGCAACGACAAACGTTACGCGGCCTGCGCACCCAGCTCAACGAGCTTTCTCGTGGTACGGAGTCTTGTGCCCATACCTTGCTCGTGCACAAGACCTCGCTGACCGCCTTGCTGCCCTGAATAACCCGATCTCCGACGATGAATTGGTTGATCGTTGCCTTCATGGCCTCAGCGACGAGTTCCTGCCATTTGTTCGCACCATTGAAATCAAGCTGGAGCCTTTCTCCTTTGCTGATTTTCACGGGCTCCTTCTCAACGAAGAACATCGACTCTGCCGCCGTAGTCCTATTTCTGATGGTGGTCCCGCCCAAACAAACTATGGCCGCTATGGCGGGCGTGGCGGCACCCACCTCTATGGCGGTCGTGGGCGTGGTCGCCTTCCCGGACACGGCCATGGATCGAGATACAGCGGCGATGGCCGCCCCTCTTACCCCTCTGTTTTCCCCTCTTCTTTTGCAGGACCAAGCCACGGAGCATGGCTACTTGGGCCCCAGGCCCAATCACCACCCACCAAATCCGAACAGTAGCATGCTCCAATGTTACACCTGTCATGGCTATGGCCATCTCGCCAAACACTGTCCCATCCCCTCTCTCACATCCCGCTTTTCACTCTCGACCAATAATGCCTCCTCCTCAACCTCCCAAGATTGGATAATGGATTCTGGTACGAACTATCACATCACCTCTGATCTCAACAACCTCACTCTTCACTTCGAATATAATGGGCCCGACGAGGTATTCTTTGGCAATGGTAATTCTCTTCCCATCTCCCATTATGGTTCCTCCCTTGTCTCACTTAATAGTCACCCTTGTCATCTTAACAATATTCTTCAGTCGACCCATAATTTTTTTTCAAGCAGACTGGGGCGGCGAATAAAATGGTTGCGCCGAATGCAAACACAGACACATTGTCAAAATCGGTGTTATAATCTCGCTACCAACAAAGTCCACATCTCAAGACATGTTCTTTTCGATGAACATTGTTTCCCCTTCTCGGATCCCAAATATCTCTCGGCCCCATCCACCTCGTCAGGTTCCACTTTGCTCCCACTGCCTGCTGACCTCTTCCCCTTCTTTCCCTACTCACGCATCCAATCCTCACACCCTCCTCAGCCCACCCAGCCCCCTTCCACTTTGGCCCATAAACCCACATCCACCACTCCAGGCCCACCTTCCTCCCAGCCTGCTAACATTTCCCAGCCCAATCCCATTTCTAAGCCCACTGAATCCCCCTCACCTAGCCCATCCCCTCGTGCTTCCACACCCAGTTCCCCTTTGCCATCGTCCTCTTCCCCAACCAATCCACCGCCGCTACCAAATCCTCCCCGACCTCTTCTTCAATACCAACGCCGACGACCTGTCCCTTCTACCACAACTACCCCACCCATCCGGCCCGTTGTTCCCCTTCCCACAACGACCAAACCTCGCACTCACCGCCCTTGTCCCACTACCTCCGCTGTCCCACCTCCCCATCCCCGCCTTTCCCCTTCAATCGCTCCCCAGCCCCATCGCCCACCTTCTCGTCCCCAAACTCACCCACCCCCGTCTCATCATATGCGAACCAGAGGCCAAACCGGCCACCTGAAACCCAAAAATTTTCTTTCCACCTCCCGTCCTCTACCCCTGATCCCCAAAACCGCCCGTGAAGATCTGCAAGATCCCCATTGGCGTGCTGCCATGCTCGAAGAATACAATGCCCTGCTCCGAAACAACACCTAGCTCCTTGTCCCACCTGCAACTGATCAAAATCTCATCTCCTGCAAATGGATTTTCCGGATCAAAACTCGGCCCGACGGTTCCATCGAGCGCTACAAAGCCTGCCTTGTCACTCGTGGCTTCCAGCAGCGCCCCGACATCGACTTCGGCAAGACATACAGTCCCGTCCTCAAACCCACAACTCTTTGGCTCATCCTCTCTCTCGCCGTGTCACAGAATTGGCCGGTGCGTCAATTGGACATCGCCAATGCCTTCCTCCATGGCAGCCTCTCTGAACCGGTTTATATGCAACAACCGCCAGGATTTGTCGACCCAGCTCGACCCGACCACGTCTGCCATCTCCGGAAATCACTCTACGGCCTAAAACAAGCGCCGCGAGCCTGGTTCCATTGTCTTCGCCAAGCCCTGGAGTCCTATGGTTCAAGGTGACCAAAATCGATCCCTCCTTGTTCATCCTCCGCCGCGGCGCCATTCGCCTCTATGTCCTCATCTATTTGGACGACATTTTGCTAACCGGGAATCAAGGCTCCGGCTTGCACTCGCTTCTTCTCTTTTTGCAGGGAAAGTTTGCCGTTCGCGATCTCGGTCGTCTAAACTATTTCCTTGGCGTCCAAGCTCATTGGACTCCCACGGGTCTTCTTTCTCACACAACAAAAATACATCCAAGCTATTCTTGACCGAGCCAAGATGAGTGATGCGAACTCCATCTCCACACCGGCTGCCCCGGCCACGAAGGACCCCGATCCGACCCCCTTCAGTGACCCATCCTTATATCGTCAGATCGTGGGAGCTCTTCAATACCTCCAGTTCACTCGCCCAGACATCTCGCAGGCAGTGAATTTTTTTCCGCAGCATATGCACAAACCATTGCAGCACCACTGGTCCGAGTTCAAGAGAATTCTCCGTTACCTCAACGGTACTTCTACCCATGGCCTCTTCTTCAGCAACACTTCTCTATTGCTTCTCTCACGCTACTCTGACGCGGCATGGGCAAACTCCGTTCTTGATCGTCAATCCACCACCGAATTTGCTGTCTACCTCGGCTATCATCTCATCTCCTTGTCATCCCGCAAACAGTGCACCGTTGCACGCTCATCCATAGAAGCGGAATACAAGGCCTTAGCCACTCTAGCTGCAGAGATCATTTGGATCGA